ACCAGTCCTTTATCAGAGTGCTGGGACTAGTAACTGTGGCTTTTACCCTATGCCTTTACAAAGGTCCCATTCAGTACTGCAGCCTAAGACTCTGGGGGCCTGCTTGGTATGATGTGGCTAGGTGGCTCTGTGTTGTATTCAGCTAGACTCTGATCAATCCTAGTGAATCAGTGACTTTGGGTTGAAATTTCAGCTGTGAAGGAATACAAGTAGCTAGGACACCCCACCCCCCACAGGCAACAACTGGAAGAGAATCATACCCTCCCACTACAACACAACCAAGGTATAAACTTGGAGAGTCCCTGGGTGATCAGGCCAGATCGAGAGTTCCAAACCAATTGTCCCAGTCAGCTCAAATGCAAATCAAGTGGGAGGGTTCAAAAGGTCTCCAGCAACTGGACAGCAGGGGTCCACTGGCAGCTCAAGTGTGACTCACTCCAGTGTTCTGCTCCAGTGCTCCATGCTCTGTGGAGTCAGAAAGGCCTGCCCAGCAAAAGAATTATTCCAGCAGGGCTGGTGCCTCTTTTTCCACCTTGCACCTCTGTTACATTCAGTCACTGGTAACCCCGCAGGGCTGTTGTCCAGCCCTCTCTAATACTCAAGTACACCAGGGATTTTGCACCTGAGTCAAAGGGGAGACAATGCCTTCCCAACTGGGCCATCTCACTATGCATCCTGCAGGCAGGAGGAGTTCAGGCCCGATTCTCTCCAGTGTTCATTGGAAACTGGGGAGTGTTCCACCTGTGTCTGTACCCAGCCAGGGGTTACCATGGCAGAGTGTGGTTCTCTCCCTCAGAGACCATGCCTCTGCCTTGGCCACACACCACTGGAACCCCTGTGGTGAAGTCAGGCTTCCTCTAGTATTCCACAAAATTGGAGCGGTGTCGCTCTCAAATTTGACACCAGTGGGAGGGTCCTTGGAGCTGCCACCACAGTCAGGGGTGACACTGCCACTGTCAGGGGTGGTGCTCCAGTCTGGGGTGCCACTGTGGGACGGGTTGCAGTAGCCAGCAGGTGCCAGTGGACAGTGCTGCCACTGCCTCAGTCCCCGGTCTGTGGCACAGGCTGACTGTGCACTTTCCAGCACAGGGCAAGTCTCTCTCCGCTGTGACTCCCTGTTTTTACTAGAGTTATAGTTTCAGCACAGCTGCCCTACAGCCCATGAGATGCCCTGCCCTAGCAAAAATCCACCAGACACTCCAGATTTTGCAGGGGGTAGTCTTCCAGACCTCCATGAGTTGGGGGAAAGGGTGGATTGGGAGATCAGGAAGGCAGGGAGAATATTTGTTCAACTTTCATCCTGGGCAAAAGACTGCCCAAGCTTGCAGTGCTATCTCTCTGGGAAAGGAGTCCCAACCTTCAGCTGCTCTCTCCCTTGTGGTGTAACAAGAGGTCTTCTGTTCACTACTCGCTCATAGATATAACACAGCAAGCCATGCTCATGGAGGCAGGGAAGGGAAGGATTCTTGTCCTCTTTGGGATGGGTTTTGTACCCTAAATTTGCTTCCTTGGAGTCCCAGCTTGCCTCAGCGGGGGTGATGCAAACCCATTGTTTCTGGCCATTATTTCTCCCTCTGGACAGGGGCTTCTGCTGAAAGCTGGCTTCAGTTGGCCATCTTGCATCTTCCCCCCAACATTTGTTATTCTTATATTACACAAACCCTTTTGGGAATTAACTGATGTGTGCTTGATCACTTCCATATTATGTGTTCCCACATGCAGACTCCTACATATATCATTAGACTAAAATTATAAATTTGTTGGTCAATTCATCCACATCCATATTATATTTTTGTCTGTTTGGTGTCTCTATTATGGTAGAAATATGAGTAAATACTTTCTGCCAAAATATGGACTCTTCATTTCCTTTTCAACTGTCTCCACTTTGCTTTTCTGTGTTGGGATAATGTTCTTAGGTGCATGTGTGATTTGAATTGTTATTTCTTCCTGATATATTGCCTCATTTATCAATATGTATTTTCATTATGTGTATAATTATATTTTTAAAACTACATTATTATAATTTAATATATAACACATGTTATATGAAATACATATTTATATAGATAATATATAAAGAAGAGATATCAGCACTCCCATGTCCTTATAGCACTAGTCCAATAGCTAAGATATGGATTCCTCTAAATGTTCATTAACAAATTAATGGATAAAGAAAATGTATAGGTACTTATATGTTTGTATGTGTGTGTATATAGTTGTTCTTTGATACCTGCATGAAAACAGTGAACACTTTTAATCCACCTCTCCATAGTTCATATTTTTGATGTCATAATTTACATCTTTTTATATTACATGGCCTTTAACAAATTATTGTAGCTATTATTTTTCAATAGTTTGACTTATAATCATTATGCCAAAGATAGAAGTGATTTACAAATCCTCATTATGAAAAGGTATGAATTGGATTATGTACTTATGTTTATTAGTTATATTTATTATTATGTTTACATTTTCATGTTTTTGTGGAAGTAATTAGCGTACATTTCTTCAAGCTGAAAGAATTCTCTCTATTATTTTTTTCTTTCTTTCTTTTTTTCTATTGCCACAGAGTCTTTGTCTATCACCTGGGCTAGAATGTAGTGGTGTCATCATAACTCTCTGCAACACCAAATTCCTGGGATCAAGTGATTCTCCTGTCTCAGTCTCCCAAGGAGCTAGGACTAAAGGTGCACAACACCATGCTCAGATAATTTTTTAAAGTTTTTGTAGAAACAGGATCTCATTCTGTCTCACACTGGTCTCGAGCTTCTGGCCTCAAGAAATCCTCTGCTTCAGCCTCCAACATTTGCAGGATTACAGGAATGAGCAACCACAGGTGGCCTGCTGTTTCTTTAAGACAGGTTTATTATGGATGAACTCCCTCACCTTTTTTTTTTTTTTCTTGGAAAATCTTTATCTCGTCTTCATTTTTGAAAAGTAGACCACAAGGGTACAAGTGAACTTTTCTAGAACTAGAATATAAATGTTTTGACACAATGTCTATGCAAATGACATGAAATTTATGTGAACCAGCTTGATGAAAGTATTTCAAAATGTATATGAAAACACTACACTGTACCCCATGTTTGCATTAATGTATACAGCTATCATTTAATAAAAAAAATTTTTTTTAAAAGAAAGAAAGAAAAGTGGACCTGCCAGGTAAAGTGTTTGTTCTTGGTTGACAGTTTTTTTCCTTCAGCAGTTTGAACATACATATGTTATTCCACTCTCTTTTTGCTGGTAACACTTCTGCTCAGAAGAAACTCCCTATGTGTAATTTCATTCTTTTCTCTAGCTGCTTTCAGGACTCTAAGGTTTTGATTTTTGATTTTTGACAGTTTGTGTATACATCTTGGTGTAATCTTTTTTGGATTGAATCTGGTTGGAAACCTTTTAGCCTCTTAAACTTGGATATCTATTATATCTTTCCTCCAACTGGGAAAGTTTTCTACTTTTATTTTAGTAAGCTTTATAATCCTTTGTCTCTTCCTTTTTCTTCTTCTTCTCCTTCAACCTGTAATGCTAGAATACATTCTCTTTTGATGCTGCCCATAAGTTCTGTAAGTTTTTCTCATTTCTTTTCATTCTTTTTTTTTCCCCTGTTTTTCTTTGATTGTACATTTGCAACTGACTTGCAAATGGGTTGCATAGGTTCTTTCTTTTGCTTGATTGTTTTTGCTGTTGTTGCTCTTGATTGCATTTTTATTTTTTATTTACTTTTCACATCTAAAATTTCTTCTCTTGAAGAAGTAATTTTAGGGTTGGTGCCTGTGGCTTAAGTGGCTAAGGAGCCAGTCACATACACCTGAGCTGGTGGGTTTGAATCCAGCCTGGGCCTGCCAAACAACAATGATGGCTGCAACCAAAAAAAAAGTAACTGGGCATTGTGGCAGGCACCTGTAGTCCCAGCTACTTAGAAGGTGGAGGCAGGAGAATAGCTTAACCCCAGGAGTTGGAGGTTACTGTGAGCTATGATGCCACTGCACTCTACCCAGTGCAACAGCTTGAGGCTCTGTCTCAAAAAAAAAAAAAAGTAATTTTAGCCTTTCTATAAACTATCTTACTTTGGTCATTAATTTCTTGCTTTTGTTGGGGTGTTTTCATGTCTCATTAAAATTCACTGAGCTTTCTTAAAGTAATGATTTTAAATTCTTTATCAGACAATTCATATATCTATACCTGTTTATGGTGGATTTGTTCCTTGGTGATGTCATATTTTTTGATTTTTTTTTTTTTGTTATTGTTCCTTGTGGCAGTGCATTGGTGTCTGTGCATTTGAACACACAGGGCCATATTCCTGTTTTGCAGGCTAGCTTTATCTGAAAAGCCTTTTGCCAGAGATGCTGGCATCCAGATATTCTGTGAAGGCTCTCTGGTGTGGTATATGAGCCCATTTTATTTTTAAATTTTGACATTCAAATTGTTCAGAGAAACATGTTACCAAGAAAGTCATGTCCTTCAGTGTCTCCTACAGATAGTAATTATGAGTCATTCCTTTTGATTTTCTCTTTGGCCATACCTTATTGAGTGGTGCCCATATTATGCCATGGGAGGAGGACCACATAGGCCCTAAAAGCATGCCCAGAGTCTTTTATATGAAGGAGTTCATGGCTTGATATTCTCAAAGCATAGATAACAAGAAGGTTGAAAGGTCCAGGTGAGGCTCAGCACCCATAGTACAGTGGTTAGGGCACCAGCCACATACATTGGGGCTGGTGGGTTCAAACCCAGCCTAGGCCAGCTAAACAATAATGACAACTTAATAAAAAAAAAAAAATAGCCAGGTGTTGTGGCAAGTGCCTGTAGTCCCAGTTACTTGGGAGGCTAAGGCAAGAGAATCACTTAAGCCCAAGAGTTTGAAGTTGCTGTGAGCTGTAATGCCATGGCACTCTACCCAGGGTGACAGCTTGAGATTCTGTCTCAAAAGAAAAAGAAAAGAAAAGATTGGTCAGGCCAGGTGAGCAAGCATCCTTGTCCCTACAGACTCCTAACCCTGTTGGAAAAGAAAATGCATTCAAAGCAGTGCATCCCTGAGGCCTTTTCATGTGTGACCTAAAGCTCTGCTCTAAGGCCCAGGGTAGAGTGCAGGAACTAACGTTACCAGGATCCAAAGACTACATTTCCTGGAAGTTAAATTCCCAAGATTTCTTCGTCTGTAGAGAAGAATTCTCCATGGCTATAGCCAACTGAGAATAAGTTGTCTTTAACAATAAGACTTTGATGTTGGTGGTTCTTGATTGCATAAAAAAGAAAGAGGCTTGTGCACAAGTTTTAAAGCACAAATAAGGAAGATGGCAGGATAGTGGTGAGGGTTTTAGAATGTGTCTTCATCATTCACCACTATTGATAGAACTTAACAATATTCCTGGTGACAGCTGAAGTACAATCCAGTTTTCTTTATATACCAAATGACAAGATCAAATATAGCATTGAGGAGGGGAGCATTCTCTTCATGTCTGGGCTTCCATTATGCGGTTTCCCTGTTGATTCTTCTCTGAAAAAGTAATATGAAGGAACATGGGATACATGGTTGCAGAGTTCAGGTAAAATCAATAGCAAACAACTGCCAGGCTTTAAAGATTGGACTTGATGCTGAGGGCAAACAATAGGTAGATGGTGGTAAAGAGAAAACGAAGTTTCCAATGTAAAATAGGAAACTGCAATGTAGTCTAGAAAGGGTACACAGTGTGCAGGTACAAACACTAGAAATGCCCTGTATGTTAATGGAGGTGAGGTGTAACAGTAGCTCTGTTTAATAAAGTGCCAAAAAAGGCAGTGGTTAGTGGTTATTAATTGTCTTTAAAAGGTTTGTTGAATGCTTACTATGTTATTAGAATCATTCTAGGACCTGGAGCCCATCAATGAACATCTCAAGTTTACATTTTACTGTGGAGACACACAGAATAAACAAATAAATACATACCTGTCAGTGATGAGTATTACTAAGGAAAAGTTGAGGCCCGAGTTGTGAGGAGGGTGGCTATTTTATAGCGTTTATTGCAGGATTTCCTGAATGCAGCAGCATCTTATCAGAGACCAGAATGAACATACTGATCAAGGTAGTGGGACTTGATTACTAATTAGGTAGAGGAGAGTGGTCAGAAGTGTGGAAGAGGAAGATACATGTGAAATATCAGAATCATGCCAGCCCTTGGAGGAAATAATGTTGGATCTACTTAATGGGGTGAGACTGACATGCAATAGAAGCAGTTTGGGGAGTGGGGAGAGATGCCCTCCATCTTGCACAGGTTGATTTTGAGGCATCTATGGGTCTTTCCAGGCTGTTAGAGCTCTGGAGACAAATACAGCTGAGACAGGGAACTCAGCATAGCCAAATTGTAAGTGCTTGAGAAAGCCCAGGGATTCTGCATAACTGAAAGTGTAGATTCCAGAGTCTTGCAAACCTTTTTGAGACTGATAGAAACAGAGGATTAAGAGAGTTATGTAAAGAGGCATTTTCTGAAACGCAGTGGTAGAAGATTAGAAGGTCAGGATTATGTTGTCTTGGAAGCCAATGAAAAGCTAACTTTCAGAAAGCCACACATTAGGAGAGTGGAGAAGAACATAGTCATCTGTGTTAGTACTGGAGATGTTAAGAGTCAGCGACTAGGGACAAGCTGAGCTGGAGTTCTGCTGCCACGTGGAGACTAGCTGGACTATGAAGATCTGGGTTCCACAGCGGTAACAGTTTCTTTTACCTCTGGCTGGTGAGATGTAGATACAGGGTGGGTGTTAGGTGAGGTTGCAAACGGACTCCGCGTGCGCCCTACTGGCCATATTTTACAGCACACTCACCGTCTCCCATGAACCATTCAAGATAATTGTTCCACTGACTTTGGTTTCTTAGCCAAATTCACTGAATTCCAGAAGAAATAGCCAGATACAATAACATCCTTAGGATTTCTCATGAGATAAATCAACTTAAAAGGAAAAATAGAAAAATGAAAAATTAATACATTTATTTCCCACTTTTTGAAATCTTCATAAAAATGGACAAATACCAGTTCTTAGAAAATGCTTATTAAACAACAATGGATTCTGTTAACAAATTACTTAGTGCATTAGTATTGAGTATATTAGATACTTTTATTTCCATACTTGAGATACTTTACTAAGAAGAATATGTTCCAGCTCCATCCAGGTAAACATAAAAGATGTAAAGTCTCCATCTTTTTATGGCTGTGTAGTATTCCATGGTATGCATAAGCCACAATTTGTTAATCCATTCATGGGTTGATGCACATTTGGGCTACTTTCACAACTTGACAATAATGAATTAGGCTGCAATAAACATTCTGGTGCAAATGTCCTTGTTGTAAAATGATTTTTGTTTATCTGAGTAGATACCTAGTAATAGAATTGCAGGTAGGTTAACTTGTAGTTCCCTAATAATTCTCCATACTTCTTTCCAAAAAGGCTGTAATAGTTTGCAATCCCACCAGCAGTGAAGATGTGTTCCCTTCTCTCCACACCCCTGCCAACACCTGAAGTTTTGGGACTTCGTGATGTGGGCTAATCTTATTGGAGTTAGGTAATATCTAAAAGTGGTTTTGATTTCCATTTCTCTGACGATCAAAGATGATGAGCATTTTTTCATGTGTTTGTTGGCCATTCACCTGTCATCTTCAGAGAAGTTTCTGTTCAACTCTCTTGCCCACAAAGAAATGGGGTTGTTTGTTCTTTTCTTATTGATTGGTTTCAGTTCTCTGTAGATTCTAGTTATCAGACCTTTGTCAGAATCATAACCTGCAAAAATCTTCTCCCATTCTGAAGGCATTTTTACTTGCAGTTCCCTTATCTGTGCAGAAGCTTTTTAGCTTCATCAGATCCTGGTAATATACTTTTGGTGTTGCTTCAATTGCCAGAGAGTCCTCCTCATAAAATATTTTCCCAGACCAATATCTTCAAGCATTTTCTCTGCACTCTTTTCTAGTATTTTTCATGTCTTCAGTTTAAATCTTTTATCCTGTGAGAATTAATTTTTGTTAGTGGTGAAAGGTGAGAGTCCAATTTCAGTCTTCTACAGGTTGCTAGCCAGTTCTCCCAGCACCATTTGTTAAACAGGGAATCTTTTCCCCAGTGTATGCTTTTGTTGGGTTTATCAAAGATCAAATGACAATATGTATTTGGGTTCATCTCTAGGTCCTCTACTATGTTCTACAAATCTACATCTCCATTATTGTGCCAGTACCATGCTTTTTTGATCACTATAGATTTGTAGTATAACCTGAAGTCTGGCAACATGATGCCTCCTGATTTGTTTTTAGTTCTAAGTAATATATTGGCTATTTGAGGTTTTTTATGAATCCACATCAAGCAAAGTACTATTTTTTCAAGTTCTTTAAAGTATGACAGTGGTGCTTTAATAGGGATTGCATTCAATTTGTATATCGCTTTGGGTAGTATGAACATTTTAGCAATGTTGATTCTTCCCAGCCACAAACATGGTATGTTTTTCATTTGTTAACATCTTCAGCTATTTCTTAGTGTTTTATAATTCTCATGATAGAGATCTTTCACATCCTTTGTTAGATAAATTCCCAGATATTTCATCTTCTTTGGCACTACTTTAAAAGGAATAGAGTCCTTAACTATGTCTTCAGCGTGACTATTGTTGGTATATATAAAAGCTACTGATTTGGAAGTATTCGTATTTTATCCTAAAACACTGCTATATTCCTTGATCTCTTCTAAAAGCTTTCTAGTTGAGTCCCTGGGATTTTCCAGGTATAAGATCATCTGTGAAGAGTGAAGAGTTTGATCTTCTCTGACCTCATTTGAATATGCTTGATCCCCTCTATTGCCTGATTGCAATGCCTAGAACTTCCATTACTATGTTGAATAGCAGTGGTGACAATGGACATCCTGGTCTAGTTCCAGATCTGAGTGGAAATGTGTTCAATTTAACTCCATTCAATATGATGTTGGCTGTGGGTTTGCTGTAGATGAATTCTATCAGTTTAAGAAATGTTCCATATAAGCCTATTTTCTTAAATGTTCTGATCATGAGGGAATGCTGGATATTATCAAAAGCTTTTTCTGCATCCATTGATAGAATCATATGGTCTTTGTTTTTATTTTATTTTATTTTATTTTATTTATGTGATGTATTATATTTATGGATTGATGTATGTTGAACCAACCTTGTAACCCTGGGATAATACCAATTTGATCATGGCATATAATTTTTTTGATGTGTCATTCAATTCTGTTTGCTATGATCTTATTGAATATTTTTGCAACAATATTCATTAATGATATTGGTCTATAGTTCTCGTTCTTTGTTGGGTCCTTTCCTGGGTTAGGGATCAGGGCAATATTTGCTTCATAGAATGTGTTGGAAAGTATTCCCACTTTTTCTATGTCTTAGAAAAGGTTATGTAATATAGGTACTAGTTCCTCTCTAAAGGTTTGGTAGAATTCTGATGTGAAGCCATCTGATCCTGGACTTTTCTTTTGTGGGAGATTTCATATAGTTGATGTTATTTCAGTGTTTGATATAGGTCTATTCAATATTTCTAATTCTTTCTGGCTGAGTCTAGGAAGTTGGCATGCTTTCAGGTATTGGTACATTTCCTCCAGATTTTCATATTTTTGAGAATAGAGTTTTTTGTAGTAATCATTGAGGATTTTTTTTTTAATTTCTGAGGTGTCTGTTGTTATTTCTCCTTTATCATTTCTGATTGACAATATTAGAGTTTTACTTTACTGTTTCTGGTTAGGTTAGCCAAAGGTTTATCAATTTTAGTATTCTTTTCAAGAAAAACCCAACTTTTTATTTTGTTGATCTTCAGACTGATTCTTTCATTTTCAATTTCATTTAATTCTGCTCTAGTTTTGATTATTTCTTTTATTCCACTACATTTAAGGTTAGCGTGTTCTTGCTTTTCTAGTTGCTTAAGCTGACCCATTAGGTTGTTGGCTCCCTTTCAGTTTTTATTGATTTGTTCTTGTCTTTCCTTATCTTTGTTGGTTTAAATCCTTTTGTGTTTGCAAATAAAATGCTATAAATTTCCCTCTTAGGACTGCCTTTGCAGTATCCCACAGGTTTTGACAATTTGTGTCTTCATTATCATTTTGTTCCAAAAATCTTATGACTTCCTTCTTCATATCATCTTTGACCCAACTATCATTCAGCCTAAGGTTATTTAGTTTCCATGACTTTGTTTGAGTATGAAGATTTCTGTTGCTGTTGAGTTCAACTTTTATTCTGTGATGGTCTGAGAAGATACAAGGAATAATTCCTATTCTTTTGAATTTGTTAAGGTTAGACATGTGTCCTAAGATATGATCAATTTTGGAGGATGATTCATGGGCTGATGAGAAGATTGTGTATTCAATTTTATTAGGATGAAATGTTGTATGGATGCCTGTTAAGTCCATTTGTTCTAGGGGCAAGTTTAAGTCCATTATTTCTTTGTTTAGTTTCTTCTTGGAGAATCTATCTATACTTGAAAAAGGGATGTTAAAATCTCCAACTATTATAGAGCAGGAAGATATCAAATTGTTCATATCCATTTGAATTTGCTTTACAAATTGAGAAGCATCAGGTAGGGTGCATAAATGTTAATTAATGAAATCTCTTCATGTTAAGTATTTCTCTTGCTAAATATGAAGTGCTCATTCTTGTCTTTCCTTATCTTTGTTGGTTTAAATCTTATTGTATCTGCAAATAAAATTACCATGCACGCTTTTCTCTGATTTCCATTTGCCTATATTATAGGTGTCCATCTCTTTACCCTGAGTCTTTTTTTTTTCTTTTGAGATGAGATGCATCTCATGGATACCTGGCCTGAGTTTTTGTATCCAGTCAGCCAACCTTTGTCTCTTTAGAGGACAATTTAAGCCATTCATATTAATTGAGAGAATTGATAGGTATGGTAGTGTTTTGGTCGTCATGTTTTTCAAAAGTCCAGTGGATATTTTTATTCCTTTCACCATTGTGGAAGTTAGGTTTTCTTGAATAAATTCTGGATGAGTTTACTTTGTTGGTAAATACTCAGGCCCATCTTCCAAAATGACCAGTACTGAGTATTTCCCAGAGAGTATACTGGGTGTGAGTATTTCCTGGAGAGCGGGTTTAGTTATGGCAAATCTCCTTAACATGTGTATGTCAGTAAAGTATTTGGTTTCTACATCACAAATGAAACTCAGTTTAGCTGGATACAGAATCTTGTGCTGAAAGTGGTTTTATTTTAGAAGATCGAAGGTCAATGACCATCCTCTTCTAGCCTGAAAAATTTTGGCTGAAAGACCTGCTATCATTCTAATAATTCTTCCTTTGTAGGTCATGTTTTTCTTGTGTCTGGCTGCTTGCAGGATTTTCTCCTTCATATTAACTTTGGCAAAATTAATTACAATGTGTCTAGGAGATGCTTTATTTGTAATGAGTCTTGCTGGGGTTCTGAAAATATCTACTATCTGAATTTCTGTATCTCTTGAAATGCTTGGGAAATTCTCCTCCATAATATCTTGGAGTAGAGCATTTGTGCCTTTAAGACCATCCTCTTCTCTTTCAGGAATTCCTGTAAGTCAAATGTTTGGCCTTTGGGAATGATTCACAATTCTCTCAGTGAATGTTCTGTTCTTGTTTTCATTTCTCTGCCTCTTTGAATGCTTGGGATCATTCAAACCCCTTATCTTCAATTTCTGAGATCATTTCTTCTGCCAACTCAACTCCACTATGAGGGATTTCTACTGTAGTTCAAAGTTCCTCAAATAATGTTTTCAATTCCTTGAGCTCTGCTATATCTTTTCTCATTATGTCCATATCCTTGGTGACTTTGTCTTTGAATGCTTTAATTTCTTGAGAAAACTTTTGAATGACTCTTTGGATTTCTATTTCCACCTTTTTCTCCATTCTATTCATCTTATTTGTCATCCAAATTCTGAATTCTATTTCTGACAATTTAGCTATTTGTCTATGAATGGCATCTTCTGTCGTGTTTCCTTTGTCATTCCTTGGGAGAGTTAAGCTACTCTGATTATTCATACTACCATTCTGCTGGTTCTGCCCCGTGAGTATTTTCTGCAATTTGGCAGTTAAAACTGGTAGGGTGAGATTGGATTGGGGGCCCCAGGAAGTGGAGTTAACCAGCCCTTTACCAATGATCTAGGGCTTGTGATTGTGGCTTTTTTCCCCATAGCCTTACAAAGGTCCCTTTCAGAGCTTCATCCAGAGACTCTGAGGACCTGCTTGGTGAAATAACACAAGCTGACTCTGTCTTGAAGTCAGCTAGCCTCTACCCAAGCCTAACAAGTCTCAGTATTAGGGTGAAATCTCAGCTGGGGAGAAATACAAGCAACTGTGGTGCCCTGCCCCCTACCAGAGACAGCTAGAAGAGGAGAATCTGTCCTTTCCCACTACAAAATAATCACCATTCAGCCTCAGAGGGTCCCCAGGTGGACAGCCCAGGTCAAAAGTTCTAATCAGATTGTCCAGTCATTGCTCAACAGGGAGAATTCAAAGGGTCTCCAGCAGCCCAGTAGTAGAAATCCACAGGCAGTTCCATCCCACAAACCTGAAGAGATGGAGCCTGGACCCTTCCAGTGAGCCACTGAGTCAGAAAAGATTGCCTGCTGCATACCATCATGGTGTCTCTCTCTCTCCTGTCCCTCACTTCCTACAAACCCCCAGCTTCCACTCAAGTCACTCTTTCCATGTTGCTGTCCAATAGTCTGCACAATGCCCAGGCCTCTCAGGAAATTGCCAAACACTCTGGGCTCTGCAGGGGGCAGACACTCAGACTGCTAGGTGAGGGGGGGATGTGGACTAGAACTTCAGAATTTCTGGGGAAATATATGTTCAATTTTATGCTGGGCAGGATAATGCCTAGGCTCATAAGTGAAACCTTCCTGAAGGACTCCCAATGATTAGTGATTCTCTCCTGTGGAGTAAAATGAGAGGTCTTTTGTTCCCTGCTCATTTGCAGAGAGCCCACAGCAAGCCTCCCACTTCGGGGGAGTGGTCTCTCATCCTCTTACTGATGGGCTTTGTACTTGGAATTTGTTTCCTTGGATCCTCTTTCTTGGAGTCATAGCTTGCCTCAGCAGAGATGATGTGCACTTGTCTATCTTCTTTCCTAGCTTATCTCCCCATCTTCAGCTTCACTGAGTCCACTTCTATACAGTATCTCTCTCTCTGGACAGAAGCCCCTGGCAAAAGCTGCCTCTAGTTAGCCATCTTCCTTCTTCCCCTCTTGGAAATTTCACCACACCTTTTACATGCCAAGATTTACAGTTAAAGATTTTCCTGTTTTTCAATATAAATGCCCATCAACCCATGAATGGATTAACAAATGTGGTATATGTATACCATGGAATACTATTCAGCCATAAAAATGATGGAGACATTACATCTATTGTATTAACTTGGATGGTGTTGAAATATCCAGGATATTTACTTTACTAAACATTTTAGTAATGCAGCACAAGAATGGAAAAGCAAGTATCCAATGTACTCGATACTAATATGAAGCTAGTAGATGGACTAATATAAGTCCACACAAGAGAAAAAATCAATTGAATTCAAGTTGGGGAGAGGAGAGGAGGGAGGGTGTTTGGTGTGCTCCCACCTAATGGGCATATTGTGGGGGTATATGGCACACCTCTTGGATGCAGGACACAATTATGACAGGACCTTCCTAACAAATGCAAACATTGTAACCTAATTGTTTGTACCCTCATATTAATCTGAAATTTTAAATAATCTAAAAACAAGAAAGATTTTCCTCTCTTGCTATTGACATTTACTTGTTCTGCTATGCTTCTCATGGCCCACTAATGATTCTGATTCACAGTTCCACAAAGTTTTGCAATGTTTTCATTAGTTCTCCTTGTTATTGGCCACACTGATCTCTTGATCCTTGATAGTTTCTCCTTCTCAGAAAAAAACCTTTAACCCATGTGTGCACTGCCATTTTTTTCATGGTATTATCCCCATAAACTTGGAATACAATAACCCTGATTTTACTTCCACTGTAGCCAAGTCTAAGAAGAAATGTAATATTTGTTCATTGCTCTAATTCAAGCTCTGACAAACTCACCATGGCCCACAAAAACTCACAAAAATAATAACGAACGTCACTCGGGAAAACACCACCACATATCAACACTAACACAGCTGTGAGACACTGATATACCAAAGTTGTAAATCCTTTCCAAATTGTACAATGTTGCCAACATAAGTGTATGATGGTAGCAAGTTCACGAACTTAATTGTCAGTCCCTTTCATATAATGCAGTTACAAATTCTTGCCGGGCTTAAAATATGTTTTTCTAAGATTCTGGCATTATTATGTCACCTTATGTATGGGTTGTATCTGGTTGGCAAAGTGTTTGGCATGCTTCCTACCCTTGCACTCAATTATAGTCCCTGGAACAGCCATAATGGCATCACCTAATGCATAATCTCAGGTCCCATCCAGACCTCTTGAATTACAATGCATTTCAGAAATGTCTCCAGGTGATTACAGGCACATTAACCTTTGAAAAGTCCTGGTCATACATGCTTTAACCATTGTGCATTGACCTTGGGCTTGGAACTGAAGAAAGACTTGGGGAAGAGATGGGTGGGGAAGTGGGAGCTGAACAAGTGTGGGCCCTCCTTTTCACTTGCTAATGCAAACCCAGTCTCAGTCTCTAGCCAGGGTGAGCATTCCCAGATGGGCACAGACTGGATCCACTTGGTATCCCCCTTGGAGTGAATCAGACAGAGAATCTCAATCAACTCATTTGTTCCTGGATTAAGAAGGAATAATGATGGTCATTTATTTAAATCTGATTCTAAAAACAAATTATGATAAAATACACATAACATAAAATGTACCATTTTAGGCATAGAGTTCAGTAGTGTTAAGTATGTTCCCATTGTTTCACAACCAATTTCCATATCTTTTTAATCTTGCATAACTGAAACTCTATACTTAATAAACAACTCCTCATTCCTCCCTCCCTCCAGCCCTTGGCAGCCACCTTTGTACTGTCCTGTTCTGTGAACTTGATTACCCTGACACCTTATGTAAGGAGAACCATGCAGTATGTGCATGTTTGTGACTGGCTAATTTCATTTAGCATAATGTCCCCAAGGCTTATCCATGCTCTACTATGCATTATTATTTTCTTCCTTTTGACGAATGAATCCTATTCCATTGTATCTATATGCCACAGTCTGTTTATCCCTCATCTGTCAATGGGTGTTTGTGTTGCTGCCACATTTTGGCCATTAGCTGAAGTCTTTGAATAAGTTCCCATTGCTCTTGGCTTTTCAGGGCCCTGCCACTAGCAGTGCCTTTGGCCTCAATGTGGTCCAGTTTAATGTGGTCCAGTTTACAGACTTCTACCCTCCAGCCCCACTCCCATAGAAATATGATATACATGTTCCAGTCTCAGATTTGTCAGACCCTTTTCCAATTTCTGGCCATCACCCTTGATGCTTTATCTATGTGGAAATTTCCTTCTTCACCAAGTAATCTTCCTTTTCCTCTTTCCATTTCAATTTAGATCCTGTTTCTTCTATTAGGACTTCAGTGGTCATCCTTCTCTCTGCTGATATGAACATCTGAAACAGCCTTGGGATTCACTCATGTAGGTTGTTCTAATACCTTGGATTATCCCCCCTGAACATTCATCTTACTGTGTAATTCCCTGACTGAATCTTTTTCTCTGAATGTACATGGTGCTAGACATGCTTTATCCCCCCAAATCATTGTACATTGTCTGTCATATAGAAATTGTTCTACTCATGTCCTGAAAGAGTGGTTCACGCCTGTCACCCCAGGCAGAGGTACAAGGATGGTTTTTGAGGCCAGGAGTTTGAGACTAGCCTGAGCATTATAGCAAGACCCCGTATTCATGAAGAAATTAAAAAACAAATTAACTTAGCCTGGTGGTACATGCCTGTAGTTCTAGTTACTTGGGATGATCATTTGAGCCCAGGACTTTGGGGCTTCAGTAGGTATGATTGGGTCACTGCACTTGAGCTGAGCCACCAAGCCCCTGTCCTACAGATGAAAGAAAGGAAAGGAAAGGAAAGGAAAGGAAAGGAAAGGAAAGGAAAGGAAAGGAAAGGAAAGGAAGAAAGAGAGAAAGAGGCTCAGCACCTGTGGCTCAAGGGGCTAAGGTGCCAGCCACATACACCTAAGGTGGCGGGTT